GCCGAGGGGCCGGGCCTCCCCCCTCTCCCGGCACGTGGGTCCCTTCCTGTCAACACCGCGCCGCCGCGGCCTTCACCCCGCCGCCTTTCGCGGCCCTGCGTGGGGAGTTCAAGTTCCTGGCGCTTTCCCTCCGCTTTCAGTGCTTCTGGTGAAAAGCCTTTTTAAAGGGAAAAACCTCGTTTCCCTGCCTGAGGATTGATAGGTTTTTATTTTACCTTGAGGCTTATTTGCGCTTGTTTTTAGCGGCGAGGCCAGTTTGGCTGTTTAGTCGAGCCAAGCTTGAACAGCAGTAGATGCCTCCACCATTATGGAGGCAGAGAGCTAGAAATGTGGAATGAGTAACGGTGATCCTGGAAAAGGTCCTACACAGCCCGGTCTCTTCGGTGAATTCAGTAGTAACTTCCCGTGTAGGAAGCTGTGTCGTTAGCCTTGAGTGTCAATGTCGTCTTTATTTTCCTCCATTTCTTCTTTTCTTGCATTCAACTGGCTCCCTCCTCTGACATACGCAACGTTATCTACCAGTGGTGAGATGTCAGAATTAGTAAGTAGAATCACTGGATATGCATGAACTTTGCTCTTCCAAGAGGGAAAACTTTGTTTAGTGTTTTTTTTATTTATTCCTTCTTAAAACTGCACCCAGCTTCTGGTGATGTGGTATGATCTTCTAGTGACTACAAGGTAGCAGTCTTTTTCTTCTTATTTTCTTGGCAGGAGTGAAATATCTTTCCACATACCTAGTGGGAGGGTCATTAAGAAAGACCAGAAATGGATGTATGGGGCAATACGTTTCTCTGCCATGTTTCTCTTTAATTGTTTCATTCTTGGTTGAATCAGCAGTAATTTTTCTTCTTGACCAACTTTTAAGCTCCAGGGAGTTTTGCGTTAATTGTCTTGGCTTGGTGTAGGATACAAAATCCTTTTGAGCCCTTCCCTTAGAGTCTGGTTCCTAAAGGAAAATCGTAATGGTGCAGAAAATACACATTTCATCTTGGGAGTAAGTGAATATACTTGCAGTCAGGTATCTGTACAGTACAGGGTTCACTGTATGAAATAATTTTCTTCTGAGGTCGCTTGGATATATATTTTAAAGCCCTGTGAATTAAAAAGTTTGTATAGGACTACTGTGAACAATAGGCCGATGCCAACTGATACCCTGAAAATTATCAGGGGTGTGTGTAGAGCTTGAAAGAGCAGTAAATTCAAAATGTAATTTCTAAACTGTATTTTTTTTTTAAAGACTTCCTATATTTATTTTTCTTGATGCCAGGAATGGTTTTTGTTATCTGAACAGATGAAGGCTGCCTTTAAAAGGCGTAGCTTTTTGAAGTGGGATATATGGAATGAGGATTGCAAAGCTCCCTCACAGGAGGCACAGGGGTGCAGAACAAGGTGGTATTTTTTGATAGGGTAAGAAGTAATATTTACTTTTTTTTTTAGTGTTTAATGTTTCATCCCATTATTAAGCTTTAATATTTAATATCTGCCTTTAAAAAGAATTAAATCATCAGGTTACCTTTTCTTTGGGCTGTCTTCATGTTTGTGTACAAAAATGCTGGGTTTTGAAGTTTGGCAGAGAATTGCATTTTGTTATCCCTATGAAATTATATCTAAATTTTGAAGTGGATGTTATAAATCGTAAAAATCAGTTTACATGTCCTTAGTAACAACCTTGTGAAAAATTGTTTCACTTTTTCAAAAAGGACTTAAACTCCAAAGATTCTGTTTTTCACAACTTTGTCCTAGGGTCTGGCATCTTTGTCCTGGTCAGGCTCTGAGTTTACAGATGATGCCTGAGGTGTTCCAGGTCAAGAGAAGAAACAGTTGGCTGGAGTGTAGGAAGTACAACAGCAAAGAGGAAATGAAGTCATAGATCAGGTTATGACATCTGATGAAAGCTGTGACTGGACTTGGTGGAGGACCGGTGTTTAGACTATTTATGGAAGAGGAGGAAGAAGCTGAAACTGTGTGAGAGACTGGGGAAGGGGCAGTAGTAGACGTGGATGTCCTAAAGAACTGTCTTTTGGGTGAGAAAACTGGACAAGGAGACAGAGATGGGGATTGAGATCAGATCTTGAGCTCAGCGCTGGCGAAGAGGAACTGGAGCTAGTTTGGTGAACAAGGGCAGAAAAGACAGAAAACCCCCAAGGAATTAAAGGGGGGTAAGGAGAGAATGGAGAAGAAGAATCTGAAATGAAAATACAGAAATTGTGTTTCACAGAGTCACAAGAAACAAGGGTAAGAATTTGAGGGGGTTAAACTGACTGGGATAAAACAGAGTCGGAGGAGTGGGAATTCAGAAAGAATAAGAAAGTAACAAAAGACTGGGACAAGAAACACTAGGTAGAAGACAGATGAGCTGGAAGAGCGTGTGCCTACAAGCATAGACTAGAACTCTGATAATTTCTCTAACTGGCAAGTATCAGTGAAACCAAATGATAAAACTTACCCTTTTCACTCCTTCAAATACTATACAGCAAAGGAGATGGCCCGATGTTTCTGTTCTGAAGCAATTAGGAATATTAGCAGTAAAATCCACGTGAGGGAGTTCTGCCGAGTTTTTGGTTTCTTTGACTTGGAGAGCTACAACAATCTAACGACAACAGCAGCAGCTTCAGGAAATGCCAGAATGAAAGCTGATTGAAAAGCCTGACTTAGCCCCATCCCCCAATGTGTCATGAAGGTCTGTGATTGCATATTAACAGTATTTTTTGCTGAAGAATCTAACTTTTCGCTGCAGGTTAGTTAATGTATAATGAATGAGTATCTAGTTAAATGTTTGTTTTTACCTTATTTTGTGTGGCTTCACATCTTATTTGTAGCATACAAGTTAAAATGCTTTGAAACAAACATTTGCTGGTTTGTTTGTTCCCCCCCCTCCCATTCTAAGTTCCTGTGTTCATCATACAAATGGTGATACTACATGAGTTAGTTTGTATTCTACCTTAGACTTTTAAGATATCCTCACTTTATATGTTGAGGCCTGAATCACAGAAGTTCAGGTTAAAAGTATCTTCTGCTATGGATACTTATTTTCAGATGGCAATGATGTAATACAAGGCACTTTTCAAAGAGTGATACAGGACTTTACATTTGAAAACATTACTTCCTTTAAGTTGCAGTTGTGGGTTTTTTTCCCCAGCACCCTGCTATGGTGGACCAAGGGTGGTAGTCACTTAAACCCCGTTTTGCTAATATCAAGTAAAAACCTTATGGTGGAGGATAGAATTTTCGTTTTTTGGGATATTATGTGATTGCTCTGATGCTGTACTTTCATTTTCCTACAGGCCCCTGCAAAAGGCATTATATGCCTTTTGCTAAATAGGTGCAAAAGAGAAAATATTCAACCCAGACAGGAGCCTAAATTCTGGTGTTTCCTAACTTCTGAGTGTTGGGCATAACAAATTGAATAAAATGTGTAATGTGGCTGTGTGTACGGAATAGATTTGGGACATTTTATTTTAACATTTAGGAATCATCACTTCTGTAATTTTTGTAGAACCACAGGAAAAGAAGGTTAGAGGACTCGGATACCACCTAATTTACTTTTTTTCCTCTAGATAAGATCAACTACATTTATGTAATTTTGGTCAAATACATGCTTTGCCTGGTCTTGGTGGTCTGATGATAGAGATTGTATGTCATAGCTGAATACTGTCTAGATGTACAATTAATACAGCTGAACATTTTTTCATAACATCTAACTTCAATCTTTGCTCTATTTTAAACCTATTTCTTCTGTCTACTATTAATTTGGCAAATACATTGTCTTTTTTTCTCAACAGGCAGCTTTTTGCCTATTTAAGGTGAAGAGTTGTTGACTTTAAAGTTTCCCTGTTCCAGCCTCAATGATGCGGAAAGAGGGTAGGGAAAAAATAAGCCTCATGTTTCATTGCCATGTGTATTGATTTATTTCTTTTCTAGGGATTCCTTTTGGAAAATGCCAAACCGGAGGTTTGCTGATGGCGAGGTGGTGATGGGCCGTTGGCCAGGAAGCGTTCTGTACTATGAAGTACAAGTGGCTAGTTATGATGATGTTTCTCATCTTTACACTGTTAAGTACAAAGATGGGACTGAACTTGCGTTGAAAGAAAGTGATATAAGGGTGAGTGCACGTTTATATAATTATCAGTGTTTCTAATGGAAGATTATATTGATTTTGTGATGTAGATAAAAATAGAACTTATAATTGGATAGTTGCCTTGCAAGTTTTCATTCAAGGAATTGGTGCCTTCAAGGAATTGGTGCTAAATAATAGCTCTTTCCGACGTGACATCTCAAGTAGAAGTTCAGAATGCTGACCCTCTTTTTAAAGAAGCGTGATTGTTTTCTTTATGTTGAAAAAACAGTGATGCCTTTGGAGAAAAACAAGTCTGATTGTTCAGAAACTCTATAGCATGATTATTCATGAAAAAGTGTTTTCGGGTAGTTTATAAAGCTAGTAATCAGAGGGTTGATACTAATTTGACTTTTTTCCACTTCTAAATAAGAAAATTCGAAAACAAATGCAAGCAGGTAGTTAAGGATCACTGTAAATGTAAATAGCGCATACCCTTTAAGCACATACTTAAAAGATCTGTGAATAGCTTGTACTGTTTTAGGTCCCCAAAGGTTTCATAAAGTATTTTGCTCTATTTGTGACAATTAGGGGTCATGAAAAAGGATCATGTCATATGTATATGAGCACATCCTTTCCTCTTTACGTATCTTCATCTGATTTAGCTGACTTGGGGTTTTTTAATGTTGATTTGAACTGTGTTGCCTTAAGCAGGTCATTGCATCTTGATATGCCAAATGTATTAATAAAGCTAAGTAATTGAAATGATAGCCATCTCTTAAGGCTTAAGAGGGTAGTATGCTTAAGAGCTTGGTGCTCACACTGATAGCTTACATCCATATCCTGATTTCTGTAGCTTTGACAGAAATTGTCAGCAGTTGGACTTGGGACAGGATTATTTGGGTATGGCCAGCAAAATAGTATGCTGTAGTTTCTTAACAGCCTTTGTACAGCATCAGTAAAGGAAATAAGAGACAATTCTGTAGAACTATATGCCAGAGTCCTCATCACAAAAAACCCACAAGTTTCTAAAATTGTTCTTTGGAATATCTAAGACAAGATTTTGCTTTCTTCCCCTCTTTTAGTCACAATCATCATTCAAGCACAGGAAGAGCCAGTCCTCTTCAAGTTCTCCGTCCAGAAGAAGTACTAGCAGATCTCGATCTAGATCTCCTGGTCGGCCAGCAAAAGGCAGACGTCGTTCTTCTTCCCAAAGCAGAGAACATAAAGATGACAAAAAGAAAACCATTCAGGAAACCAACTTAGCTCTACTGGTATTAGGTTTTTTGTTTGTTTGTTCTTTGTGTGTGGGTTTGTTGGATTTTTTAAAACAAATTTTTGCTATTTGTGAAAGATTTGGTTTATGCATACTGGGTTTATTATTATAAAAGCTAGCTGTAGTTCATGTTCCCTGAACAACATAATTGGCTGCAAAAGTGTATTTCCGAACTGCCTTTTTTTCTTTGAAAATAGGCTTTCTAGCTTGCCGAGTTGTGAGGAAATTCTTGAAACGTAAACGTATGTTGTTAAGTTCCGTTTGAATTTGGCAGTACAGTGAAAAGTTCTTGGAATTCAAACAAACACAAATTCTTTAATATTTTAATATTGAAGTCAGTTAGCCGTATGCTCCCACTTGTGAAATGGGGCAAAGGACGTTAGCCTACTTTTAAGATGTATTGATGAACACATAGCAGGTAGGTATTCGAATTTGAAATGAAATGAGTTCTGTTTTCATATACAGTTCATTACAATAGTAATGGAAAACATGTGAAGCTTCTGTGGGAGAATTGCTGCAGAATTCAGGTGTGGAATATATATTTATGGCCTTGCTGATTGATAATATTGCAGAACTATTTTCATTATAAAAACTATCCTGTAAGGATTTATAAGTTTATCAAATATCTGGGGTTTTTAGCTGAAATTTATCATGTTTGTTCTTGGCCTTTTTGTGAAGGTTATATTGAGTACTAAAAATGGTTCTGGTGTTCTGTAAGTGAAGCATAGTAGAGGTGATGTTTCTCTATTAAGAGACAAACAGCATTTTTTCTGCCTCTTGTGCTCTTGAGATAGCTTCAAGTGATACTTGTCTGAGACACAGTCCCTTGAATTGGAAATGCCTTCTGCTGATCTATTGAAAATAGATAGGTTTTAGTTAGATTTCAACTAAACTAAACCAGACCAATCTAAACTAAATAGATAGTTTAGTAAATTGCTACTACTAAAAGCATTCTTTGGCACTGAAATTACTGTGGTTTTTGTTTTGCAGTGAACTACTTTGAGCTGTGTGACCCAGTGCATAGCCTGTGGACCATATGCTTGTTTTAAGTAGTTTGTAGCCAGCAGCTACACTTTACTTTGGACAAAAAGGTTAAAATATCTTTGGTGTTTTTCTCCTGGCTTCTAATTGAGGAGTAGGATTGATCTATTGGTGGTTGTATGACGAATGACCTGGTCCTTTCCAACAAAGCTTAAGTTGAAATAAAACAGACGAGTTGTGTCTTCCCAGAGTTGTGTAAGCTAGACTCATTAAAAGGATTTTTGCAAGATGATTTATTTGTTAGAAAGGCATTTAGTGGAAAACGAAACTTTCAGTCGTGCAGAGCAGTGGCATATATAGGACACTGAAATTTCCTCTGCTTTCCTAATAGAATTACTAAATAGACATGTATTTTGTACTTGGCAGTTCCTAATGATGAATTAAAAATAACTTGGAAGCTGTATTCTCTCTTAATTTCACTGTTAATTAAAAAAAAATTAGTAACCTTTTCCTTTTCTTAAATGAGTTTTCTTTCCTAGTTTGTGAGCTGAAACTGGCTATGCTTTGGATATTGAACCCACTTGTTTTCCTGTGGAGAAAACCGGAGCAGTTGCAGTTGAAAAAAACCTGGATTGTTAATGTTCTTAATTATTCATTATATATTTACAGATAATGCAGCTGTTATTTTCAGAAAGCTAAAACTAGGTTTTTTCTTTTAACCAGAAACTGAGTGAGAATAACACCAGAAGGTACAATGGTGAACCTGACAGTACAGAAAGGAATGACACATCCTGCATAATCTTGGAGGTATGAACATAGTCTTTACTCTTAGTTTTATGTCGCATTCTAACTTAACTTTCTCGGAAATCCCTAGAAAAGGGCAATACAATAATCAAGGAGAAATAGAATGCAACATAAAACTTAGAGGTCAAATAAGTTTACTGTTCAGCTAACTAAGTTCAGGGGAGAGGGAGATGAAGTTGTCAGAAGGGAAGAGTACTAGAGCTACGTAACATTCGTTTTTCTTGTTTGTTTTTTCCATCAAACCCTCGCTGGTTACTTGTGTTCATTCCCATGCTTTTACACTGTAAATGTTTGGCCATAGAAAGTGATTTGATTTAATTTTATTTATTTATTTATTTTTAAGCCAAATCCATTCTTTAGTCCTGATTGTTAGCTAATGCACAGTGTTATGGCAGAAAGGAGGGGAGGAGGGCAGGAATGGATGACCTGTGCTGGAACTGTTGCTGATATGTAATCATGGCCTAAGTGATCACAATGAAATTGGTTTTAGCAGTCTCTTCATAGAAACGCATAAACTTAAGTACTGTATAGAAGTAGAACACATTGTATATTGGTGTTTTATAGTGAATAATGTCCTCCTAAATAAAAAATATTGGAGTAAAATAATTGGGAATTTTTTTAGTAAATTCTTTTTATTCATTAACAGCAAAAGTTGAAACCAGACCTGGAAATAGAGCGTGTGCTTGAACAGTACAGCTTGCATCCAAGAAAAGAAGAAAAGAAAAAAGAAGAGAGACATTCGGAGAAAAAGTTTTTTGAGACAATAAAAACGATTGAGAAAGCATCATCAAAAACAAAGGAGCTAGAGTTTGGTGGAAGAATTGGTATGCGTGCAAGTTGTCATAGTAGTTGAAGATTTATGGGGTTTTATGTTTTTTTATTTTCATACTTTATATATTTTATTTTAACATATTTAAATTACGGTTTTACTTTTATGGTTTTTTTTTTTAACTTATTGACCATGCTGTCATGTCAAGAACTGTTTTTTCCAATTTTTGGACCCTGATTGCAGAATCCAGAGTCATCTGACAGGGCTTCACGTAGTCTGTACTCATATTGGTGGCAGTCAAAGAACCGTTATTATGCTTGGTTCTCTTGTGAAATATAGTGAAGACCTTGAGCCTTCCATTGCACAGTGGGATTTAAATATTTCCAAATTAAATTTAAGAAGTAACTAGCAAAGTTTTAACATTTTCAAAACCTAGGTGCTTCGAACTCGATGTTAAAGTATCCTTTATACAGTTTTTTGAACAGTTTTAAAGGAATGCACTGGGTGTGATCCTTCAGTTTGGTTATATGACCCCATATAGGAGTGAGAAGAAAGTCCTTGTATCCCGTTATGTGACTGGGGGATTGCTGCTGTCTTGCTTCAGGAATAGATAATGACACCCTCTTCTTTGTTATTGAACTTAATATCGAGCTGCTTTAGTGGGACTGAAACGATTTTTTTTTTTATTTTCTATGTTTATCTTCTAATATGGCATGACTTCTGTTTACAGGGACCTTCATGCTGATATTTTTCCTGCCTGCTACTGTATTATACTTGCTGTTGATGTGCAAACAAGATGACCCCAGTCTTATGAACTTCCCTCCTCCTCTCCCAGCACTTGAAAGTCTTTGGGAGGTTAGGGTGTTTGGTGTTTTTCTTCTGTGGTTTTTCCTTCAAGCTCTGTTTTACTTGCTGCCAATTGGAAAGGTAAGCCCTTCAGTAGCGATTGGGTCTTTATGGATAATTAATTTGTGCGTTAGGCTGGAAGGTGGGGTATGTTCTTATTGCAGTGAATTTGAAAGCAGTGAATTAGCGTTCCATATTAAGCTGGAATATGGCTACTGCAGATTTCTGTAAGCTTAAAATAGCACAGTCTTTTAAGAATTTTAATGGCTGTGCATTTCACAGTCTTACAGTAGAAAAGGCAGAAGGCATTATATAGGAGTTCAAATCAAAGCACGGTTAAAATTTGCTTGGTAGAATTCTAGAAGCGTTTTAGGTATCTGACTTTCAAATCGACAAACTGATATTCAGTTTCTTATTGATATCCAGTGTTTTGGAATGTAATCTTCACTTATGGGAAGCTATAAACCATTCTAGCCATGTGTATATCAGGCAAATGTTTCCCTCTTTTTGTGACTTGAGGGATACTGGCAGATTCTGAAAGAACACTATAATAAATAGATCATTGAATCATGTTGTTCTGTTGCTATACATGTTTACAGTGATTGGAGCTGTTCTGTTTCTTGAGGCTGGTTAGGAAGAGATTTTTTTTTTTAAAATGTTTTTATTTGAAACTTACCCTTTTTTTGATATCCAAAGTACGCTTTTGAGAATAGTGCATGATCTTCAGATTTGAATGTGTCCAACTGGTTACCTTGACTGAACGTCTTTGTGGCAGAGATAGGCTTGATTTCCCTCCCCTGCCAGTGCCCTCGGAAAGTACTTTGTTGAAACACTAGTATTTTATTCTTCCTAGGTTGTAGAAGGCCTGCCTCTTCCAAATGGAAGGAAACTGCAGTACCGGATAAATGGTAAGCATGTTGCAGTTTCTTATTCTGAAATTTGATACCGCTGTCTGATTTGCAGTGCTCAGTACCATAAGATACAAATGATGAAAGAGACACTCTATGGTCAAACTAGGTATCTGTTGTAAATCTTTCATAAAGTAGGATGAGCCTTTTCTTGGAAGAAGGTGTTTGGTAATGATCAGGAACTAACTGCCCCAAGAGCAAGACGTTACGCTATACAGGTCACCTGGTCTGCATCCAGTTGTGACTGGTGACTCCTGTCATATTCCTTGCATAATTGCTAAACGGGCAGTCGCCTGTCGGAAGTGTTAGTAATGCTCATGTGACAAGGACTGTTGCTCCCGAGGAGATGTTCAGGAGTGATCTGAAGAGATCTTATCCCATGTGTCTAGATCATCTTGGATGTCTCTGATTTACAGACTGATAAGAAGTGTGTTGTAATTGATTTAAGACGTTCTTATTCTTGCTTGGCAAAAATTATCCCATGTGTCTAGATCATCTTGGATGTCTCTGATTTACAGACTGATAAGTGTGGTGTAATTGATTTAAGATGTTCTTATTCTTGTCTGGCAAAAAACAGTTCTGAGTCCTTATTCAGATCTGATTTCACTTCCTATGAATAAGGCAGGCTTCTCATGTAGGTTTAGAGTATGGTTTAACATATTTCAGCAGTCCTGCTTTTTCAGGCTTAAATAGAAAAGTGTACTTTGCCTTGCAGGTATTCCAGACTACCTATTTGATTAATTAGTCAGTTCAAGGACACTGACTGGTAGTAGTGGAATCCAAATGTTGTATTAAAAAGTTAAGTGGGGTTTTGTCATAGTCTGGTAAGATGCACTATTTTAAAGTCGGAATAGGGCTGTAAATCATAGAAGCAGAGTGAATTACATCCTGCAGAAGTGAGTCATATTGAGGCTGCCTGATAACTTTTTTGGTTTTGGACTTCTGTCTTTAGTAGGGGCATAGTCCTGCAATTTTATTCTGATAAAGGGAAGAAGGAAATAAGCTACATGATTTGGATGGTTTAAAAAGGAAAAAATTAAAAAAAAAAACAACCCAGAAGCCATCTTCTTGCTGCTTCAAAGGCTAATTCTCAAAGCAACTTTGAAAGCCTTCTTGAGGAAAGGAAGAAGACCAGTGACAGGACAAGAGGCAATGGACACAAACTGAAATACAGGAGGTTCCGTCTGAACATCAGGAAACACTTTTTTTACTGTGAGGGTGACTGAGCTCTGGCACAGTTTGCCAAGAGAAGTTGCGGAGTCTCCCGCCTTGGAGATACTCAAAAGCCGTCTGGATATGGTCCTGGGCAACCAGCTCTAGGTGGCCCTGCTTGAGCAGGGGGGTTGGACTAGATGAGCTCTGGAAGTCCCTTCTAACCTCAACCATTGTGACCCTGTGAAAGGGTTCATAGAAGGTATTTAGGTGAGAGCTGTGTAGAACTGCCTGCTTATATTTGGACATCATTCCATTCTACATGATTTTATACTCTAAGTACAGGAGTTTTGCGTTCAAGTTTTGACTTGATAGTTATTTTAATACTTTAATTACTGCTATCTGTATCGAGGTATATATGAAGATAACTCATAGAATCATAGAATCATTGAGGTTGGAAAAGACCTCTAAGATCATCGAGTCCAACCGTCGACCCAACACCACCACCCACTAAGCCATGTCCCTAAGTGCCACATCTACTCGTCTTTTAAATACTTCCAGGGATGGGGACTCCACCACTTCCCTGGGCAGCCTGTTCCAATGTTTCACCACTCTTTCAGTAAAGAA